AAACTTCTGAAAATGGGAGGACAATCTCTCGACATTCCAGATTGATCAATGCATGTTCTTTTTTCAAAATTAAGTCCAGATTCGGCGCTTGTGATTTTGTCAATAAAAGTCGTCATAATGAAAAAAGTAAGCAAAAACCATCGTGACAAATTACAAATAATGCATGATCATTTGAACATTTTTCCTATCGGTTGTTTGTTCCTATCGGGAAATCAATGCATTTTACGTTATTTTTTTCATTTGACATTTCTATCACACGCCCACAAACCAAACACAAATATATTCGAGATTTTGGTTCATGTGATTTAGCACTACTCTGCTAGATGTTAGAAGCTATTTCTCCATCCTTTTACAATGCTGCCGATTCTTCTGATAGTGTAAGAATTTGGCAGGCACATGTCGATGCCTGTATCGAGAAATACGTCCTACTTAAGCACGTAAATGTACTCCGAAAAGCCAACATAACACTTTCCAAAGATACTCGGCTAAAAATGCGCAAAAGAAATAGGGCTTTTGATCGCTGGAAGTCTGTCAAAATAGCTGCAAATTACACTCTTTTTAAAATTTTAAAAAGTGAGGTGGTCAAGTCAGTTAAGAAAGATAAGAAAAATCATTTTAAGAATATTGTTTCTCTTTTCAAAGTTCCAACACGCTTTTGGCAATCTGTCAATAAGTTTCGTAATGGAAAATTACCGATTCCTCAATTTGTTACGGACAAAACTAGTCATACCTCTTCATCTTTAAAGGAGACTTGTGAAATGTTTAGTAACCATTTTAATTCTTGCTACTCGTCAGTTCAAAATACTCTCCCTATCTCTGGAACAGCACCCAACTTAGTGGGTCCATTAATTTCTGATATACTCATTGACCTAACCGAGGTGGTGAAAGCTGTAGGGGCTATGAAAAACACCGCCAGCGTTGGAGTGGATGGTTTCTCAGTGGAGTTTATACAGTTATGCCTACCAGTTCTCGGAAATCAATTAGTACATATATTTAGGCTTTCAATCTCAACAGGAATTTTTCCAGTTCAGTGGAAAGTAGCCACTATAACACCAGTATATAAAAAAGGAGACTCATCGTTTATCGAAAATTATCGCCCAATTTTACTTCTATGCGTCGTAAGTAAGATTCTTGAGAAGGTTATTTATAAGCAGCTGTTATCTTTTCTTCTCGACAATAGGCTGTTAAGTGCTATCCAGTTTGGGCTCAGACCGTCTTCTTCAACGTTAGATGCTTTACTAAGAGTTACTCACTTTCGTTTTAGCAGTTTAAATAAGGCAAGTTCTGAAAAAGAGCATTGCATAGGGTTAAGCTTTGATCTGTCAAAAGCGTTCGATCGCGTATCGACTGACCTTCTGCTAAATAAGTTAAAACTACTTGGTATCGATGGGAGTCTTCTTAACTGGTTTACATGTTATCTTACAGGGCGCACTCAGTTTGTCAAAATTGGCGAGAGCTTTTCCTCTCAGTCGCCGGTTCTCTCGGGGGTGCCAGAAGGGTCCATCATTGGCACTTTACTTTTCATTTTATTTCTAAACGACTTTCACACGCCAGTTTCGTCGTCTATGATAGATAGTTTTTTTGCTGATGACCTTTTTGTGGTTATATCGTTCAAAAAATCGAAAAACATTTCTGTTATTCAAAATTTAGTTCAAGCTGAAATAGACAAGGTGACAGACTGGTGTGTGAAAAATCATATGTCACTCAACGTTGACAAGTGTTCATACACTTACTTTTCACTTGATCCTAAAATAAAGCCCGATTTTAAGTTAACTCTATTAAACTCGAAGCTCTTGCTCGATACCGATCCTAAACTTTTAGGTATGCGGCTTTCTCACGATATGAAATGGGCAACACATATCCGCGAAGTAGCAACATCTTGTCGGAAAATGCTTGGTGTTATTAATCGAGTTTTCGAAGAAGCATCTCAGTCAATTCGCTTAGTTTTATATCTTACTTGCGTTTTACCCAAAATCGATTACTGTAGTGCTCTTTACAATTCTAAATTCACCACACATCTTGAACCACTAGAGGCGGTTCAACGTTTAGCAAGTCGTATTATTACTAGAAACTTCAATTACGAAACTGATAGTCTATCTCTAGTCAATAAACTAGGTTTGCCCGATCTCAGTGTCAGACGCCAGTACTTTCGACTCATATCATTTTAAAAAATTTACAATAATTTGACTCTTCTCGAATCTCAAGATTTCCTTGCTAAATTGACTTCTAGGTCTCTCCGAGCAGCGCATTCTTGTATGGTGGACATACCCTTCACTCCTTTCGAAACTGTCCAGTCATCCTTCTTTTGGAGGACTGCAAAAGACTGGAATACTAAAGATCTAGAAAAAATCGTTTCCATCAATTCTCTCAAAACCTTTAAAAAGGCTTTAAAAGAACATCTTCATCTTTAGTCGTTCTCTGTTTTCCAATCTTTGTTTTTCATCATTTGTAAGCAAGATGAGTGTAAGTTAGCGGAGGAACAACAGTGTGACAGCGTAAAGTATAACTTATATGTAATGCACTCATCTTGCCCCAAAAACTAGTGTGAAAAGCATTTCTCTCGCTATTTTTAGTTGTTGGTCATGATAGGCAGAAACCATGAATTCCATATTTATTTTTTCTGTTGCAAGTCATTCTTATGTCTGAACTTTTATTATGTACCATGGTATGTTACCAAAATAAAAAGAAAGAAAGAAAGACATTCCAGATTGATCAATGCATGTTCTTTTTTCAAAATTAAGTCCAGATTCGGCGCTTGTGATTTTGTCAATAAAAGTCGTCATAATGAAAAAAGTAAGCAAAAACCATCGTGACAAATTACAAATAATGCATGATCATTTGAACATTTTTTTCATATCACTTTTTTATTTTATTTTCCTAACACTTGAAAACAGCTTTTCATTAAACGAGACCAAAAAAAATCTAATATCAATTGTTAGACAACATAAAGTAAAAAGAAAGAAGAAGAAATACTTTCTTCCTCCTATGATTTGCATTGTTTTCTTTTGAAATATCTGTAACCGATTATTTAGACTTAGTAACATAGTAGGATAATTAATGATATTTAGAAAAATACTTGTAGATTTATCGTGTAAATTATATATCAATGTTTTTAAGATTAGTAAAACTTACTGGATGTCTACCAGCAACTCCGAGTACATACGTTGCAACGCAGTATCCGGTCTATGATTGTGTAAATGGTTCGATTGCACTTTTCAATCTAATAAAATAAAGAAAACACTACTGATTTGTTCTTTATTTACCGTTTAATTACACATACCGCGCTTCTTCTTGATTATGTTTGACAATCCAACGACATAATGCACTGGCATCAAATTGAAATTGCGTTTTTTTATATTCATTACAGTATTAGCATTTTTAACTACTTCAATGAAACCCGTACAGAAACCAGTGGCCAAACATTCATAAGAAATAAGGCTAAAAAACAAGATTTGAATTAACAAAGATATTCATTAAAATGTACGCTCAGTTCTTACTTTAAATTTAATCCATTCGCTTTCCAAATCATATCGATCATATGAATGAATTGTAACGCTAACATATCCTGTCTTAAATCTAAAATAATTGTACTATATCAGTACTTCTATTTTATCATTTTAATAATGATGAATTTATTGACGTACCATCGCCATATTTAAAAATTAAATCAAAATTTGGTGAATAATGTTCAGCATATTCAGACGCATTGGTCTATTTTAACCGTAACGGACGACGAGTAGAGGACATAATCCGACAACTGCCTAACTTAAAAGTAAAAGAGATGCCCATTTGATTCAACTCTTTAGCTTAATAATTTCAATATACATACATCAATTGACCAAGCATAACATAATAATTAACAGGACATCGAAAATACTCAAAATTATGCTGGTATGATTCATCATTAAATAATTTATTGATTCATTATTTAATAAATTATGAATAACCACATTTGGTAATGAATTCAGAAATGATTCATCTACTATTGATGGTAGATGGAGTGTTTTTGGTGGTGTTACATGACCAACATCTGATATACCTAATAATGATTGTAATGAACACAAAAATTCATTGTCATAATTACCGGACACGGCATTTGACAAATTTTCAGTTGAAGCCATTTTTAAAATTTATAATAATTATCACTGAATACAATAATCTACAAATATAAGTTTACAGGTAAAGATAAAAAGAAAAACACATAATGAAAAACTTGGAAAAGGTGTCCTGCTCCTACAAAGAAAGAAATGAAAAAAACCTAATTTTTATGCATTTTATTTCGACTTATATGGAATAATCAAATGAATAATTTTTTATATAGTGACGAAAGAAAGAAAAAAACAAACGAAATCATTCTAATTATTTCTAGTACCCGACTCTTCTGCGTAAATTTGATGGTGGTACTAAGGAGAGGGATCTGCACAAAGAAACTTTTCGATTTCTAAGAATTTTCGACTGAGTCTGTTGGGGTTTGGAGATTTTCACACCAAGACTAAGGCGAATATACTTAGAAACCGAAAAGTTTCATTGCGTTGATTCCTAACCCTCTCCTTAATGTCACCATCGAATTTTTCACTCGCGTTCCAAAAAATTTCAGATTTGCTTCTTTTTTTTGTTTACTATGCGCATAATTATTTTATATATAAATAAAGAGGAAAAAGTTATCCTTTGCTTAACAAAGATAAATTGAGTGAAAAAGAAAATAATTTTATCAAAAATAGAATTTCTTTTCTATATAACAATTTCAAAGTCAATATTCTATCCAAGAACTTTTCACTCTTATAAACGAACATATTTGAGTGTCTAAACAGTCATTATATTCTTGATTTGCATGAAAATGTAAGATTTAATTATGTATCGTTTGAAGTTTTTCTCAAAAATTATAAAACAATCACTTTTCACGTGACAGGAGCGAAAACAATCCCGAATGGGTTTTTCATTAAAGAAAATTTTTTTTCAGAAAAACTGCAAATAACACACCATACAGACTAATGAGTGACTAGTCCGCAATCTGACTAGCCAACGACTAGTTACTGACTGGTGTTCTAATTAGTCATGGACAAATTTTCTTTTGTGACTAGTGATCTACTAGTCTGATAAATGACTAGTCACTTTTTGTCAATTAGACCAGCTACCTGACTACACTGTAAAAAGAACTAACGGCAAAACTATCAAAAAGCCACGATAAAAGTGTGTCACTATCATCCAGAATACAATTGCCAATAAGATGATGCTGATACATTTTTACGGTGACAATGTCATATTCGGGATACCAAAAATAACACTTGAACTGTGACATTGCTTTTCTACTAGTTGGGTAAAGCTGGACGATGTCAGGCGTTTTTCCTGTATAAAAGTGTGATATTGCTACACTTTTAGTGTTATGATGGATCACTTTTTCCAACTGATGCCTGATAGGAAAGTGTGACATTACTACAATGTTTGGTGCCATGAATGGTATGTATAATTTATTGTTATGATCGATGGGGAGGAAAACGATCGTAAACTCTAACAGTGTAGTAAAACACAATGACCTGTCAAGCATGTCCGAACTCCTGTTTAATTTCGAACTTAACTTGTCCCTCAATGTGTCTTTCTTAATTTTTAAAATGTTCTAGACGATATCATCGCGGGTGCACTGAAACCAGGGGTTTGTCAATGAATAAAAGTAGAAAAAAATGATCTGAGATACAGTTGTTCAAATCTCTTTCTGTACACTTAACGCGGAATCAATCAGGATCGCATCCCTAGCCATCAGTATACTTTTCGTATGACAGACTTCTACGCATTCATTAATTTCTAGAGTGACAGTGTAAGTATACATCCAAAAATAAAGAAAACAATGACGATTTTTCTTTTGTTTTTTGAAACAGATGACAAGTTTTAAAACAATAATAACAGCAAACGCTATATGAGCCACAAATGCACTTCGAACTGCAAATGTGTGTAAGTTATTTGAGATTGTTTTTCGCTAGCCGTCAAAGATAGCCATCAGGAGTTACTTTCTACGTCTTTCATGTAGAAAGTGGCTTCCGACGGTTATCTTTGATAGCTAGCGAAAAACAACCGTTATTTGACCATAACACATAAAGGGTGACCCAGAAGTTCTGACTCGATTTGAATAATAAATTTTTCTATAGTGAAACAAGTGATAGTAAATTTGTCCCTATGAAGAAAAGGTGCAGTAAAAAACGCTCTACAAGATGACTATTGATTGACTGCGTTAGCTCATCTAGTAAGAATGTTATAGGCTTAGAAATGTGCTTCACAAAAAAGAAAAATCAACCGTGAATCCAGTCTCGGTATTTTTGCTTTAACTCCTGTTCCTTAGGTTCCCTAAAATAAGTTCTTTTTTTAATAGAAGCGTCGTGAAACTCTCTACAAAATCCGTACCTAAACTTTAATTTCAGAACTTCAATCAAGAAACCACGGCCATCTGGTTTTTGGAGTTAGAAGTTAGAAAATGATTATTTTAACATAATATGGTCTTACTATGTGTCAGATATTAGTAGACGTAAAAAATCTCCATCAGTCGATGCAGTTTTTCACGCTGATTCCGAATGTGTACAGCTTATGCAGAAAAACGTGTTTTTTTGAAGGAGAAAAGTCAGTTGTACCTCAAAAATCCGAGGCTATTGGAAAATCTCCCAAGGACTGCAGTTAAAGGTGCGCTACTTTGCGCATTCAAACGTTACAAAAAAACTAGACTAAAATTCTAATTTTTCAGGCACAAAAGAAAATTTTGGGATCATGTGTTACGATCACAAGAGCAGACGATAAAATATGCTTCTTGATCAACCTCTGACGGCTTTCGTTCTTCAAGAAAATAATCCGATTTTGTCATTTGTTCTGGAACCGTGTCAATTCGTGAGAGAGAACGTCTTTCACTATTGAAATTCGGCATCTGAAAACAGTCATTCTTATAAATGAGGATAGAAAAGCTCAAAAAATTTGCACGTCATTGGTTCAAGATGTTTTTGCAGTGTTGGGAATATCGAAAAGTGGAAAGAAGGAAGTGTATAAGAACAGACATTTCACTAGGTTCACCAAAAAATAATGTATCTCCTGCTACTAGAATAAGATTTTGAACTCGTAATGAGACAAGAATTTGTGTTCAAAAGCCATTGAGTAACCAAGCTTTTTGTAGCTTCCAGTACTTTTAACACTACGAAAAAGGAAAATATATACTAAAATCTAAAAAAGTTCTCTATCTTTCAATCACTGATGACGAAATTTTCTGATTATGTGTAATTTAAAGAAAATTCATTGCTAAAAACCGACAATTTACTGCGGCTCATCAGTTATAAATGAGATCATTCATGCAGAAAAAAAATATTAATTATTGGGCGATACAGCTAGCTAACTCATTATACTACCCGATATAGCTAGCTAGCAATTCAAATCAGGTTATTTACCACCGGGCGATATATTAATCGATCTCATGTAGTTTTTGCCCGCAATTAACCCTAACATATTTTGAGACCTCAAAAATCCTTTTCAATGCCTTCTGAAAAAATTTTCGCAAATAAAACTTTTCTTTCATTAAATGAACTTTACTCAGAGTATTGTCATTATTTTATTTCTTTCGCTTATAGCAAGCCTCAACTATCTATACCGTTCGATAGCGAAGTTCGCGGGCTACAAAAATACTATATATAAAACATTCAGAAGAAAATGGGACTGAGTAGTCTAATATCAAAAATACTCTTCAGCATCTTACCAAACCAGTAGGTCAACATCGTTCATGTCTTATAATATCCATTTATTTTCTCGTTAACCATTCTATTTCATATACATGACAAATATTTGACAGGTATCTCGATATTTTTCTCATAGTAGCACATAAAAAGGATTATAGTTTCTTCTACAGACAGAGATTAGGCATAGTTTATATAGAACGATGGCGAGTTCCACCGGTAAAATACCATCTTTACCGCGAAGTCTGGCGCATTAGTCGAGACCTATCTCATTCGAAAGAGCATCAAATTCTGAGCCAGGAAATGTATTTTTAATTTTCTAAGTCGATGCGAACAGGTCCGGGACGGGCTCGGCGGGTTTCAGTTTTTCCACGTTCCAGGGGGAAATTGCACTGTAATTTTCTCGGCCAAATCGAAACCTACCGAGCTGAGACTTTTACCAAATACATTTTGATCATTTGTAAGTCGAATGGCG